ATACTTAGCATTTATTGGAAATCATTTCTCAATTTTTGTGTGTATCCTCACTAAGAAACGTGTTTAAAAATCTAAGAAACAGGTGTTTACAGTATTTTTATTATTATCATACCTTCTTTATAGTAAAAGTCACTTGAATATATTTTAGAGTAATAATGGTTTTTCATGCACAAAGATTCTGTTTTGGATTTTACTTTATAATGTTATAATTTCTAAATATAATGACCTTTTGGTGGAAACTAGTATAGGAAGTAATAGAAATATTATTAAAAGAAGCCAAAATTCATAATTTCACATCACTACATATGACAAAAATATGACATCTTCATCATAGCACCTTTACAGTAATATGGTTATTATAAATATTTGAAGTGTGTGATGTCTATTACTGCTGTCCTAGTTTCTATCACATCTACAAAACCACTGGACATTAGTGTCTCAGTATTCTGAAGTGCTGAAGTGCTGAACTGATTACTTCATTCTCAGTTTGTTTTCTAGTTTATCAGAAAAATGAGAATAAAAGATTTAAAAAGTTACCACAGCAAACCTTAATTCCATGTCCTACTCAAGACAGCATTAAATTAATTAAGAAAATACATGAATCAAAGAGGAATAAATAAATGTTCACTTGCACATGTCAGCTAGTTGGAATTGTAACAAGGTAAAAAATCATACCACAGTAGTAATTTCAGTCGCTTTTTCTTTATTTCTTCTGGATGGTTGTATCAGCCTGGGCTGGTTTCTTCTTTCTCACTGTACTAACTTTACATGTAAATGTTACTGACTCTTAGACCAAAGCAACTATCTCATCATATTCCCGGGTTTCATTCTACCTCTTAGACAGAATGTAAGTGTATCAAGGAGTGATAATCTTAGATATCGTTATAGAATTCTGCACACCACCAATGGCTAAGTATTTCCACCGCAGTACATTTCCCATCCCTAACTGCTCCCAGCTTTTACAAAGTGGAGCATTCATTACTACACTTTTCCTTAGAGATATGTTCTGGTTAACCCTCTGCATGGTTTTATCTTTGATTACAAAGTTTCACCTTTATCCAGATTTGCTTACAAGGCAATCACACTTCTTTTCTTCTAACTTTATTGTTGGTATCATCTCTTTCCATAAGTTGTAGGAACCCTGTGATTATAATACTAACACTTTGTTAGAGACTCTTTATATAAAGATTTTTATCTAGCACTACATTTGGTTTGTAAAATGTGCATGCATCAAAATTATCTCGAAAAAGAAAGCTTTTACTACCACTTTTTACCATCCTACACAAAAATCCAATTCCACGATTATTTCAACGTATGTGTATATGACCTGTAGACATCTTATTTTTATTTAGTTATTTACTAGATAAGTTAAGCACAATATTCCTGTTTATGATATGTAGACAAGTAATAGGAAGGAAGAGTGGTAACTGTGTTATAATTTTTTATTCTTAATGTCATATGCATCCTTTATTTAACAGAATAAATTGTGTTCTCTCCATAAGTTGCATGTTCCCTTGGATGAAATTAAACATTTGAGTATAAAAAGAGTTGAGTATAGAAATAAATTCTGTTCTAATATGACAATTTCTTGCTTCTTTTAGCTTAGCCATTATATTGGTTTATTGCTATATTACTGTAGTCAAAGTCCTATTGCTGGGACAAAATACCTGATACCTACAACTTCAAAAAGGACAAGTTTATTTTGCCTGACAGTTTTAGGGTTTTCACTCAGTGCGTGGAGGGCTGGGTCCATGGCAGAAATATCAGAAAGGTCATGGGAGCATGACCTGGCTCAATCCTGCTCAATCCTGACAACAAGAAAGTAGAGGAAGAAGGGAGGAACTCAGGCCAAGAACATACCCTTAAAAGTCACAACCCAAATGATTCACCTCTTCCAACCAGGCCTCAGCACCTGCAGCTAAGAACTCATCAATGGATTAACCCACTGATGAATTACAATGCTCACAATACAGCCATCTTCCCAAAGCCCCACCTGAACACATGAGACTTTGAGGGTACATTTATATCTGAACTATAACAATTGTAAGTAACATGTACTGAAGACTAGGTAGTTTAAACTGAAGCTTATTTTCTCGTAAATCTTGTGGCTTGAAGTCTAGGATCAAGATGTTTGCAGATATGACTTCTTCTGAACCCTCTCTGTGTTTTACAGATGGACATTTGTACATCTTTTCACATAATATTTCCTCTGTATGTGTTTCCTTGTCTCCTCATCTTATGACAACATGAGTCATATTGAATAGGGCCCTCCCTAATGACCTGTTTTTACTTAATTACCTCTTTTACATACCCTCTCTCCATATACAATCACATTAATAGGTCCTCGGAGAGAGAACTTCAGCATCTGATTTATTTATTTATTTTGGTACTAGGGATTGAACTCAAGACCTTGCACTTGTGAGGCATGCGATGGAACAACTAAGCTAAATCCCCAGCCCTCAACATCAGAATTTTTAGGAGGACACAATTCCACTCATAATATTCACAAAGTCAGCTAACTCTGTTTCAGAGTAAGACAGGGAAACAGTGTAAAGGTAGCCCATTGGTCACCTTTCTGTGACTAAAACAAAATACCTGATATGTACACCTTAAAGGAGGAGAAGTTTGAGTTACATTTTCAAAGGTTCCAGGCCATTGTTGCTTGACTCCAAGGTAGAAACATCATGGCAAAAGGAAATGGAGGAGAAAAGTAGTTCACTTTGTGGCAACCAGGAAGCAGAGAGCAGGGAAAGAGTGCCCAAGAAAAACAGTTCAGGAACAAGATATATACCCCAAAGTCATACTTCCATGACTTATTCCTTTCAACCAGGCCCTACTTACTAAGTCTCCATCATTATCTAATGATGTATTCAAATTATGATCTCATCAAAGGATCAATCCATTATTGAAGTTAGAGCATTTAGAATCCAATCATCTCTGGAAAAGTATACAAACACATTCAGAAGTGTTCCTTACTAAAACCTAGATGTTTCTCAATCCAATTAAGTTGACAATCAACTTAATCATCATATAAAGTAATAACTGAGATGAACAGAAGTTACTATAGGACTGTCATTCTACAGCTAAGCTGATTCAGATAGTTGTGGTAATAGCAGGTGATAGTTGGTGATTATTTGAGAAATTATAATGGACCATTTAGAGAAAAAGCTGAATGTTTTCTTAAATTGGAATAAAAGTGAACAAAAGAAACCTTTTGTCGGCATTATATTTGATTTTTATATGAGGTCTGAACATGAAACCATACACTGCTCTAAATGAAGACAGATCCAATAGGAATCTAAATGATATTTTATTATAAAATTACAATGTATTTATTTTTTTCTCATTGAGTTTATTGGTACATTTTAGGTATACAGTACAGTTACATTCATCACTGGGAACTTGTACCTTTACATGCCAGGTCTTGGTTCTCATTTTTTCCCTTTACCCCTGCCCTCCCTTCACCCCCTCGTCCCTTCCCTATTTACAAATACTTTATTTCCATTTTTATATAATTTAGATTTCTAAATTCTAAGATTAAAAACAGTAAAACACATGCACATTTGGGCCTGAATGAAAACCAAATAAACTACTTGAAGTAGGAGAGACAATTTTCTTTATGGCTATGCTTTTAGAATATTTCAGAAATATTATTTTTACTTCTCAAAGCCAGGTTTAATTTAGCTGTGTTAAACACCTAAAAGTCTCTGCCTGGTACAACAATAGAAATTAAAATCCAAAATAAAAAGATGGTGGCTTTTCTTGCCATAATTTTCCAACATATAGGCATTTAGAAATAGTGGGTTATGGTCCATTTCATTACATTCTTCACTTATTTTCTCTCCCTTCCACATGTTTAAGGAAGCAGTACTTGGCTTTTGTCTGTTGCACAATGAGATCCTAATTGTCAGATCTCTTCCCTTTATTACAGTCAGGTAATTTTAATTATTATCTAGGTTGTATTTTCTCTAAATTCTTTTTAGTTTCTTTTATGCTTTGTACTGTTAGTGAGCATGTTTTAATGTTTTACAATTCAAAATGTGATTTCTACAGTCAGGCTAATAACTAAATTTAGGTAAGGTATTTGAGGTCACTTGATGTCTATGCATGTAAGGAAAACAGTCTTCTTGTGTGCTTTGGTGTTTCTTCTGGAGAAACTTTCCAGAAAGTTTCTGGAATGGGGAGAGTACAATAACTTCTAGAATGATATATGTCTTTGGTTTTGTGATAGCAAATTTCCATCTTGCTATGGTGGAAAGGTTGATTGGAGTGAATCAATGGGTACCATCTTTGTTCCCAATTGTATATTGCAGGAGCCTTGTTATTGCCGCACACAGGCCTTTTAGTGTTAATCTGAACACATCAGAAGAATTTAGGACAGAAACTTCTAATCCCAAATCTCCCCCAAGATAAGACATAATTTTTCTATTAAATGATTATAAAATTGCCTTTAAGTGACCCTATCCAAATGCTAAGCAACAAACCAGACCCTTTTAATCACAAGGAAGAGGTTTAAAATTTTGTTTCCAATGAAAACTCTCACCCTAGAACAGATTTCAGCCAGGCAGCTAGCAAAGCTGGTGGGTGAAGTACACAGGCCATGGTGGGTGCAGAGCGCAGAGCCGGAAAGCAAACAGCTGCTATAGCCTGATTTGAGTTAAAATAGTGTGAGTGTTTAGTCTGGCGCAGGGCTTCAGGGGAGATTGGCAGCTGGGTCAAACAAAGTCCTTCCATTGGCTCCCTTCCCAGGCAGCTTCTGCTAGTATTTAGTAGGTACTAGTGCAGTGTAGGGCCCTTTTCTCAGGCAAAACCTAACATCTGACCGCACCCTCTTTGCTATTTCAAGAAAAAGAAAAAAAAAAAAAAAAAAAAAA